AAGTTCGGTCCTAGAGAGCCGCAGTCCTGCAGAGTTCAGCTCCAACCCTAATCAAACACACCTGAACAAGCTAATCAATGTCTTCAGGATTACTAAGGCTACAGGCAGGTGAGTTTTTTTCAGGGTTGGAGCTGAACTCTGCAGGACTGCGGCTCTCTAGGACCAAACTTGCCTACCCCTGTCCCAGACCTTTAAAGCTACAATCACCAAACTTGGGTCAGACCTCCAGACTGTTCTGAATTAGTTGCTATGACTTTTCTAACTGATCTGATCATTCATAAAAATTAAGATTAAAAATAATGAATATCCCACATACTTACATCTTCTATGCTAATCATGCTACATCTATCTATGCCAATCATGCTACCAACGTGTTATCAACACATTAATCATGCTATCAACATACTAATCATGCTAAAGTCATGCTAACAAACATGTTAATCATGCTAGAAACATGTTAGCAACATGCTAATCATGCTAAAACATGTTAACAAATTGTTAATCATGTTAAAATCATGCTAACAACATTGTAGCAACATGTTAATCATGCTAGCAACATGCTAATCATGCTAGAAACATGCCATCAACAGCTGCGTCCTGTATGACGCACTATACACTATGTACTTATGCACGATGTACTCAGCCATGTAGAGTATGAATTATATAAGGTTATTTTGTCATTCATAATCGGAGTCTGATAGGCCCTCCCCCTTCACTATGTAATTAAAGCTGCAACATTTGAGTGCATGAAGTGTCCAATATTCCACACTTAATTTTTTCGGTTATTTAAGTACATCATCCAGGTATTTAAAGATAACTTTTTCTTTTTGGAATTTTCAGTGAATACACTACTCACACTATTTATACTACAAAACGTCATAAAATAGTGCATAAGTACGCAATTTGCGACACCTAACATGATAATCATGCTAAAACATGCTAACATCATGTTAGCAAAATGCTAATCATGTTAAAATCATGCTAGCACCATACTACAGTGGAGGAAATATTTATTTGATCCCTTGCTTATTTTGTAAGTTTGCCCACTTACAAAGAAATGAAGGGTCTGTAATTTTGATGGTAGGTTTATTTTAACCAGATAAGAGACAGAATATCAACCAAAAAAATCCAGAAAAAAACACATTATATAAAGGTTAAAGGGGTCCTATTCTGCTCTTTTACAAAGTCTTGATTTTGTTTTGGGGGTGTACTAGAACAGGCTCCCATACTAGGTTGTTCGAAAAACACATTATTTTTCACATTATTACAACACCTCTCTCCCCAGTCTGGCATGAACGGCTCGAATAGTTCCTGTATCAAATGAAGGCCCGCCTTCTGAAATACGAAATGTGCTGTGATTGGTTAGCTGGGCCAGTGTGTGTTGTGATTGGCAGCACTCGGTGCCTGGTAGGGAAATGTCATGCCCCTTACCATAGCCGCTGCAAGCTTCAGTGTAAATATTGCGTCAAAATCAAATCAATTTGAGCGCGATTTCAACCCGGATTGTAACCACTCTTAAGTTCGTCTGCCTTGGGAAAACTAGCGTGTCTCCGACATAGTGATAACACTCGTTGCCTTCTCTAGTGCGGCTCAACCAGGTCTCGTCCCATTCGTCGATATTTGTGATCTCAAATCCCGGAAAATATGCGCTGTAGTCCAAACGAGTCGTTCGTTGTAGTTTTTGAAAAGTGATTTCTGTTAAATTAAATATCTCCTTTTGAAGTGGACTTTGAGCTTTGTAACTTTGCAGACCTTTTTTCCGAACTACACGGGAGGAGTTTGTTAATGATCTTAAGGCAGTTGGGACCACAGTCACCAAGCAAAACATTGGTTACACACTACGCCGCAATGGACTGAAATCCCGCAGTGCCCGCAAGGTCCCCCTGCTCAAGAAGGCACATGTACAGGCCCATTTAAAGTTTGCCAAAGAAGCCAGAACACTGAAGAAGGGTCATGGATGGGTCTTCCAGCATACCGCCAAGGCAACAAAGGAGTGGCTCAAGAAGCAGCACATTAAGGCCATGGAGTGGTCTAGCCATTCTCCAGACCTCAATCCTATAGAAAATCTGTGGATGGAGCTGAAACTTCGAGTTGCCAAACAACAGCCAAGAAACCTTAAGGATTTAGAGAGGATCTGTAAAGAGGAGTGGATCAAAATCCCTCCTGAGATGTGTGCAAACCTGGTGACCAACTACAAAACACGTCTTACCTCTGTGCTTGCCAACAAGGTTTTCGGCACCAAGTACTAAGTCATGTTTTGCTTGGGGATCAAATACTTATTTCACTCACTGAAATGCAAATCAGTTTCTAACCTTTATATAATGTTTTTTTTCTGGATTTTTTGGTTGGTATTCTGTCTCTATACGTTAAAATAAACCTACCATCTCTGTAAGTGGGAAAACGTACAAAATCAGCAGGGGATCAAATAAATATTTCCCCCACTGTAGCAACATGTTAGCAACATTCTAATCATGTTAAAATCATGTTACCAACATGCTAACAACATGTTAATCATGCTAGAAACATGCTAGCAACAAGCTATTCTTTCTAGGAAACATGCTAATCTTTCTGGAAACATGCTAAACAAGTTAGAAACATCTATCTAATCTATCAAACTTCAAGCTTATACAACTGCTTCAAACTTCCAGTCAAGGCTTTTTCAAGCCAACTTCAAAGTTCGTTCACGAGCTTTACTCATCTAGTTGTTATTTTTCCTGCCCTGTAGTTGGCTTAAAATATCATACCTTTTGAAGATTGTTCACGTCTTTCTGGTGTTTTTAATATGCTGAAAGACATACCATGTGCAAACGCAACACCATTGCTGAGCATTTTTCCTTAAAACTGCAGTGTACCAAATACAGTCTCAAAAACATGGTGTTAAACAGTGTTAGTTTCCTGCCTTCATAAACATGTAACCA